GGAAGATGTGTATAAATAACAAATATTTCAAAAGAAGATTTTTATTACTTTCAAGATTCTGAATATTAGAACTCCATTAACCATCTGTTACTTAGTAAAGATCTCATTTTAATAAATAAAGAATAGCTTGAAACTAGCACATCAAAGTCACAACTTCTGCCATGCCAACTTCCACTTATGCAGAAATTACATATATCTAGTAAATTGTTATGCTAATATGCAGATGCAGTGTTTCCCAAGTAGGCAACACTTCAAATAACAATGTTATTTATCCTATTTATTTGATTATAAAAATAAGCATAAAATTTGAATTTTGTAAGACTAAAGACACTAACTCCTAGTTAGCTTTATCTAAATTAATGAGGCTGTGCAGTATTAATTTCTAAAAGTACAGTAGTAAATTCTAGAAAAAAGTTATTGTAATTAAAATGGAAAAGACAATAAGATAATTTGGCAGAAGCCTTAGCTAAAAGTCCAATTCCACTCCAAGTCTCCCATTAAGATATTTCTATATCTATAATCACATCTACATGAAGATAATCCAATTATAAGCAGAATGAAATTTGTTCAGTTTCATTTCCTGCACAAAATTGCCATCAGAACCACTATGTTCAGCCCTATAATGAAGCATAGCCTTCCTTGGTCCCAAATTTATATTAAAAAATAACCGGGGATGGATTAAAACATTGTTATTAACTACAGTCAGCATGTTGTACAATAGTTCTCTTGAATTTATTCCTCCTATCTGAGATTTTGTATCCTTTGACTATTATCTCCTCAACCCTTCAAATCCCCAGGCCCTGGTAACCACAATTCTTCCCTCTGCTTCTCTGACTGTTTTAGATTCCACATATAGGTGAGATCATGTGGTTTTATCTTTCTGAATCTGGCTTATTTTACTTAATAATGTTCTCTAGGGTCATCCATTTTGTTTCAAATGACAGGACTCCCCCCGTCCCCTCTGCCTTTTTTTTAAGGCTGAAAAGTATTCCCTAGTATATAAGTACCACAATATCTATCCATTCATCCTTTGGTTTTCGCTATTGTGAATAATGCTGCAATAAACATGAAAGTTCAGACGTCTCTTTGACATACTGATTTCATTTCCTTTGGATATATACCTAGTAGTAGAATTGCTAGATCATATGGTAGTTCTATTTTTAAGAAATGTTAAAGAAACCTCTGTACTGTTTTCTGTAATGGTTGTACTAATTTACATTCCCACCAAAAGCGTGCGGGTGTTCTCTTTTCTTTACATTCTCACCAATACTTGTTATCTTCTGCCTTTTTGTTAATAGCCAATATAACATGTGTGAGGTGATATCTCATTGTCATTCTAATTTCCCCCAAATTGCCAAGAGATTAGATTTCACGTATTCTCCCACCAGAAAAATATGATAAGTATGTAAGGTAGTGTACATGTTACTTAGTTTAATTTAGCCATTCCACAATGTATACATACTTCAACAAATCAGTCTACACACTATAAATATGTACATTTTTTGTCAATTGAAATAATTGTAAAAGTAAATGATCATGGAATGCAATCAACTCATGGCTCTTTCGTGCATGTGGTTATTTTCTTAACTGTTTCTCTTAAGCTTTGCCCCAGGATAAAGAATGTTCTGGAATGGCAATCAGGACCACATAATGACAGGCCTGATATCAAGCAGGTCACATGTAGAATCATGTTGCAGTTCACAAATCTCAGAATGTTTTCAAGTGACTCAATCTTGCTCTAATATGTTCGCCTAGGTAAAGGGGTAAAAACATTTCTAGGAATGGTTCCCTAAGAAAATAATTGTTTAAAAAAGTTATAGACATGAGCATCCTGATAATTACTGGTAGTTTATTATGAAGGGATTGAACAAACGTGTAATACTTTAGTACATAATCCCATTTTCAGATCACATGAGTATCTTCTTATAGTAGCCTCTAAGCCGAGCTATTGAAAACTTAATAGGAGAATGTTTTTTATGTGAAAACCCTAGTTTCCAAGGCAAAATTTATTCAGATTCTTTTTCAGTATCCACTTTTGGATACATAAAGCCCGAGATAATCTTACTAGGACACTCCAAAAGAAACACTTTCCTCATGAGACCATGTCTTAGATTGATTTTCAACAAATAGGGTTTATTTAGAGATGTTCAAAGTAAATGGGTTTAGATATTTCTCGTTTTTAGTAATTTGCTTTTACCTATCCAAATGTTTTTCTTTGTAAGCTTGCGTTTAAGCACCATACATATTTTTCTTCTGGTGACTCTTATCAGTTGGCATCACATCAGAAGGAACAGTCAAGATTTTTAAGCTGAACACTATATTCCATAAAATTATTTCAAAAGTCAAATCTTGGCATCTCACAGAAAAGTTTCTTGAAGATCCATAAGAATTCTGGATTTACCTCTGACAATTAAGGGAATCTTCACCTTAACTCTAGATTAGTTTAGGGTATCTGGGAGATGGAAAGATAGCACAGTTTTAAAATATTTAAGAAATAGGAAGTTATGAAGAATTAAGTCATCATCATGTCCCATCTGACTGAAAAAGTAAACCAATAAGACGAATTTAAGATAATCTGCAGTGTTCCACAATCCTGTCTAATTTGATGTCAACAGATCGTGAACCAAAACATGTGATCTCAGATTCAGAACACCCATCCAAAATTTAAGTAAGTCTTAGATGTTTCATGTAAATAATAAACAGTTAAGGTAGGAAAAAAGAGAAGGTAGAAAGAGGGAAAGCAGAAGAAAGGATGGAAAAAGGAAAGAAGAGATAGGAAAAAAGCAGATGAAAGGGCAAAAGAAAAAAAATGCTTTCTATAGCATACATTTTGGGACAACCCAGCTGAGTTCATATGCTTCATGCTGTCAGAAAGTAAAAATGTTGTCCTTTAACAGTCTCTCTCTCTCTCTCTCCTCTTTCAGCCAAAGAAATTAACAGGAACAAATGTATGACAGGAGTGCTATAATCTGCTAAATGTGGGTGTCTTAAGATATAGTATTTGTCTGCTTCCTTGGGATAATGCTTGTTCTATTTCATCTGTATGACACTGAGTACCTAACATTGTTTTTCTATCTATAAGGAGCAATACTTTTTGTAATTAGGTAAAGGGTAATGTTTTTCTTTGGTAAAAAAAGCCTTTTGCTCACCTTTGAAGAACTGGGTAAGGGAGCCATTAGAATAACTTCAGGCTCCAGGATTCTGTCCTAGAATTCACAAATCAAAACTCACATAGTGATTTTTCCTTCCATCTGTCTATCCCTCAGTCCATCTTGCCAGCCAACGAGCAGAAATTCAATGAGTTCCTCCTAGGTGCCTGGTCCTGTTATAGGAGCTAGGGATAAACATGAACAAAAGAGACAAAGCCACCTTCTTAAAGACACACCCAAGAGTTCTAAACAGACATTTACATAATTATACAAATACATATGTAAAACTGCAGTGAATGACATGAAGGAAAATTACAGGATGCTATGGAATCCTGTAATAAAAGGATTTGCTTGGGAGTTTTAACATATCCTCAGAACAACAAAACAAACAAAACGGGCATCTTGGTTTTGTAGGGGTAGAGAACTTCATCCATTGCCCATAGCCTGGAAAATATCTAAGCAAGACGTCACATGGGTTATTTGCACTCAGAAAAACTTCTTGGACCTTTGCTTTTAATAATGTAACTGTCAAAAACACTTCAAAAATGAATAGCAAAGAATGTTTATTTATAGTGGTTTAGTGTGCAAATTTAAAATAAGCTAGCAGATTTTAAGAGGAATGGAAATAAAAAATTCAAAGAAAGTGGATCTTGCCTGGACAAAGCAACAACCCTGGACCAGAATTCAGAAGTTTCTAGTTTCATCAAACATGTCTCAGCTGTGCTGCCATGGCCAAGTGATGTAACCTCTCATTTTCTCATCCCAAAAGCAATTGCTGTGCCTGAATATAGGATTCTTCTGCAGAGCATACAAGTTAATGTACATCAAAGTGCTTTGTGATCATAGCAGAGAAAATATAGTATAAAGAGTACAAAGCATTAAAAAATAATAATGTAAACTTACCCCTCTGAGAAGATTTAGGATAGGCTGCCCCAAAAGACTTCATTAGCTAACTGAAAGACACTATTATGTGTCTACATTTAAATTGCTTACCAGTCATCTCAAGGAAAAGCGCATGCCAATATTATTAGAGCCAAACACTTAGCATGTCATACTTGGTACCCTGAAACAAAACTAGCAAATTCTTCCTATAATAAGTAACCATGTGTACACTTAGGATTAAACTAAACTTTTACTCAGAGAGGAAAATAGCATTGCTGAAATACATGCTGGCTGGTTTCTTTCTCTTTTTCTTCCTTTTAAATGTATATTCAAGGACAAAAGAGAAAATAAAATTGGAAAAGTTCAACTTCAGAGAAATGCCATTTCAATCAGAGAAGTCAGGTTGTAATTCTCACTTGAGTTCGTCTCTTTAACAGGTATTATGTTTTTCCTTTAAAAGCTTTTATATTTGTTACTGATTCCATGAAGGGCCTTTCTCAAAATCCAAAGGCTCCAGTGCCACCTTCCTTGCTTGATTAATGGGACTGTTCTGAGATATCATAGCCTGGAGGAGACATTTTTTAACCAGTCTCATAAAAAAAAAAAAAAAATTCACTCAGTGTTTACCTTCTAGTGTAGGTTCTCCAAAGATGTCCATACAATGTCTATAAGATTTTTGCAAAGAGCAATCCTTTACAAAATGTTCTAGAAGACTCTACTGAAGTTGTCCACCACACTAAATAACTATTGCAACTGTTGCTGTGTCACCATCTCAGTTAAGGAGCACACAGAAATTAAAAACAAACTGAACATTTAGAAAAATAAAGCAATATTTTGAACCATCATCAAAGAATGGATTCTTTATGACCAAGTTTTAAAATATTTTTAGATAAAATTGTCCTGTTTGCTCATTTTGATCTATTTTGTTCTTGAGGTTGTTGTCACTTGAAAAAGGAAAGACACATAAAGTATGAAACGCCTCAGCTTTATTAATGCAAACATATTTTTATTAAAGAATGAATGCATTTATGCTAAAGAATAGTTTACATATGTTGTAAAGCAACAAGCACATCTTCAAGAGGTGAATCCTCCTCAGTATGACTCCATGCTTATTCTACATGCCTGAAAACTGGACCCACACATGGGGCACATTACACACACACAAACGCATACACGGACACATAGATACGCAGACCAAAATGCTGACACCATTGCTCTCTGGATTGGACTACCTCTCACTTAAGGCTTCTTAGGCGCCACAGTGCCCTTGCATTACTGGGAATAAAAGCGGATTTTTATAAAAGAGCAGCATTACTGGAAAAGTAGTCATCTGCTCTCGGCCTTTAATGTATGTATATTAACAAATACTTTCAATTTCATTCAATGTTGACTCTGTGTTCATGATATTTAAAGATCTATGAAACTGAGACATCTCAGGATTTTTTAATGATAACTTATCATTCAAAATAATAGAAAAAAATGGGTAATTCTGACCTTAGGATACCACCAGTTTTAATCTTACCTCAAGGTAAGATTTCTCTTTAGGTTAAGCTGGACATCGGTTCTCTAGACAAGCCAAGTTAATTTAACTCATTCCCTATCCAAGTGCAATGTTAAGTGATGGGGGCAAGGCTTCCTTGGTGATGCCAGATCAGGATTTGAAGCCTGCCAGGAAGGATGTATCAGATGGGACCATTAATTAAATAAGTTATCCTAAATCTGAGCTGAAACAAAAGGACAGCCTACAAAGAGTTTGCTCACTTGCTAATCACTCATTCCTCTTTTTCAGAGTTTCTGTCATTGCAGCTGTTTTAAACTGCTGGTTTGTTTGTTTGCTTCATTTACTTGGTTATTTTCTTTCCTTTTGGTGTCCTGCACTGTCTGTTGATATTTCATCCCTCTAGGGATATCAGAAGGGGAAAGAGGGTGAATGGGGCAGGAGGAGGGAAGGGGTTATTAGTAGTTGCAAGTATTCTAAGAAAATAGATGAAGTGACTACAATAAGAGGGTACTACTTGATATATTCATGTAAATAAAAGCATTATCTTTAACTGTGAATTAACTGCCAACTATCAGGTTGTTAGTTGTAAAGCTCCATAAAGGCTGTGCTGATTTGCATACTGAGGAGAGAATCTGAAACATGCCATGGGAGAGGGGCTCTCAGGATCCTCCTGAGGTGTTCCTTCAACCCTGTGGCCAGCATCTGCACAGCACTCCCGGCACCACCCTCACTCAAGATCTCACAGATGCCTCTACCATTCTTGTGGATTTTATAAGGCAGATCAAGATGATCCATCAACTAACAGCCGCAAAGTATTTGAGAGTGGTGAAAACTGGCATGAAGCTCTCCCACAGGGAGGCATTGGGAAACAAGAAAAACAATAAGAGTCTAGAACCTTACTCCCCATCCATACCCCCACCCTCCTCACAAGTCACAGCAGCAGCAGATTTCAATGTAACGTAATTACTTTAATGATACATTTCTTTAGATTTAGAATTGCTCTTCTGAATTTAAAAAGCTTTGTCAGCCAATAGTTTGGCAGTCTTTTCATCCCAAATTTGAATTGTTGCTTACTCATCTCTTATCTTGAACTCCTTGACCAATACTGCCTTTGCTGAAGCATCATCTCAAGTTCATTCAGCCATCGTCGGATTCCAATTCCTGGGACACCTCTTCAGAGGAACTGTTGCTGTGGATTCGTCCGTCGCTCTTCATACTGTGGAAAGTCTTCCTGAAGGCCTCCATCATGGCATGGGCCAGTTTCTTGGCCTCCAGCTTGCTCTCGCACTCCACAGCATGGCAGTCCATCTGGTAGGACAGGTCATCGTTGATCTCCCTGTACACCCAGGCGAAGATGTTGGGGCTCACGTTGTGGTCGGCAGTGCAGTAAGCGATACGGGCCACTTGGAAGGTATCCATGTGGACTGTGGCTTCCCCTTTATGGTCGAGGTGATGGAGCCACACTTGGAATGGTCGGATTTCCAGGAGGGCATTGGCTGGAAAGACATCTTCTCGGGCTAGCGTGTGCTTCTTCCAGAGCTCAATGACTGGCTTCTCTGTGCAGCCTGACAAAAATTGCATGCCAGTGGTGGAGACTTTCCCTAGATAAGTAACCTGCAGATACAAGACAGGAAGAAAAATGGAGAGGTCAGCAAGCAGTTGGCTCTCTGTTCTAACAGACTTAATGAGTAGAGAAATGTTTTGAATAGTCAGTGTCACATTGGAAAGACAAAGAGGTTTCTTTCTTGCTTTCTGAAAAAATATCTGCTATCAGAATATCCACCTTATCTCCCTTGCCAGTTGCGTACTTGGCAAATGTATTTAAATTCTTTAAATAGAGCTGGATCTTTAAAATCTAATTTCTAGAGATCTATTCTCTGTCTCCCCACCCCTCTTTTAAACTCTAATTAGAAGAACTGAGTATGATATTTTATACAATCTGGCATTTCTTTAAAATCATAAAGTCACTCAAAGTTTATTTTCAGCCAAACACATACCAAATTTAATAATAAAAAGGAATAAAAAGGATGCTACATCTGGAAAACAAAATCTTTATTGAACTTATCTCCTAGCCTGGTTCTCTTTCCAAATCTTTCAGTGTTTGATTTCACTTAGACACTTGCTTCTAGTGCCAAGGATGCAAAAATTGCTCTATTTAAATTACAGCCTGAAACATAATTGTTTTCCTTCCTAAGATAAATTTTAAAAATAACAGCAATGCCCAGTTAATCTTCCAACCTAAATAGTTTTTGAACTGATGGGCGTCTGGTTAAGAGATAATAAATGAAGTATCAACAGATGGGTTAAAACTAGAATACTGGCTTATCACATAGCTAGACAGGCGGTACTAAAACTAAAAATAATAATAATAACAACAATAATAACTCCAAATGATTCCAACAATGCTTTAAAAAAAAAACTTGTTTATGCTATACCAAGAAGAGATTTTCATTCTTTCATTTTTTTTCATTCATCAAAATTGACAATACTGCTACCATAGAGGCACAGGCATTATGGAAATGCATAGTTCTTAAGAGATCACATCTAATAAATAACACAAGCCAGGCTCGGTGGCTCCGCCTGTAATCCCGTGCCTTTGGGAGGCTGAGGTGAGTGGATTGCCTGAGCCCGCGGGTTCGAGACCCACCTGGGCAGCGAGACCTCATCTCTACAATAAATAAAAAAATCAGCCGGGCGTAGTAGTGCATGCCTGTAATTCCAGCTACTGGGAAGGCTGAGGTGGAAGGATCGCCAGAGCCCAGCAGGTTGAGGCTGCAGTGGCCGGGAGCGGCCACTGCACTCCAGTCTGTGCGACAGAGTGAGACTCCAACTCAAAACAAACAAACAAACAAACAAACAAACAAAAAAACAAAATAAATAACACAAAATAGTGTATCGTTATGTTTAAAATTAGTGACACAAACGTAAATACTATGAATGTGAGGAGGGAAAGACCAGAAAAAGGTTCTTGGGACCATGAAAATTGAGGAAATACATTTGATCAAAATAATTCCAAATCAATGTTTATGTGTAGGGACAATGTTTGGAAATAGGACTAGAAAGGCCACATACAAAACATTTAAAACACAGAAGCTAATGACTATGGTATCTTTCTGTGGTTAGTTATCTCTCAAAAAGAATTAGTTGGACAGTCCCTTTAAAAACTAATTTTTTAGTCAAGATGTACAGGTGCTATACATTCTATAAATCTTTATGGCGAATCTATGAAACACAGTGGAAATGTGCCAGATAGGTGTGCGATAGGGGGTGACATGAAAGTGGGGAGGGCCAAAAATCAGTAGGAAGGAAATAACTCAGAGCACAGTCTTTGAGGCAAGTGAAGTCTAAGTTTAAATCCTAGCTTCACAGTTCACCAGATAAGTGATTCTGGACAAACTTTTAACCCTTGGCCTGTGCAAAGACTGGATAGAAGGCAGATCACAAAAAGGGCAGGGAGAGGTACAGCAAAATACCTTTATATTCTTACACTCTGGATTGGTGTAAGAATATAAAGATCGATTTGTGAAAAGATGCATAATATAGGTTTCTTGAATAATATTTACTGAAAATGTGAGCCCTGTTAATGGTATTTTATAACATCATTATTATTTTTTCTAACAGCCTTATTATTTTTTAAAATAAGTGAAATTCATATTACATAAAATTAACAATTTTAAAGTGTACTATTCAGGAGCTTATCTGGCTTTTTCTACTTAACATATATTTTCAAAGGTTGTTCTGATAACAGAAGGCCTCAGGAAGGGGAGTTATTGGATCAAGGCATCAGGTCTCAAAAGCTAGGAAGAAATCAAGGTGGTAAAAAGGAAGAGGGAGTATAAAGGTAAGGCTGAAGTAGGGAAGATATCAACCTGCTTGGGAAAATAGACCACTTTGGCCTGACCACACATGAAGTCATAGCCTAAGACAGCCCTGAAGAAGAAGCTGTGGTAGAGGTCCATGACTGTTTGATATAAATAGGTTAACTTACGTGGGATGGTCCTGCATGCAGCCTAAGGAGTTAGGACTTTGTGGCTCCTGATGGAATGCTACTGAAAATCTAGGATCCAAGGAGTTCTTGGATGCAGTAAGAGCTTGCAAACTCAGAAGATTTGCCACTCCTAGATAAGGAGGACTGGCTGATAACAAACACAGCTAGGGGGCAAAGATGACCTGAACTAGGAATAGAGTCCATGGAAAAGAACAGGAGAAGACAGATTAAAATGATATTGCAGAAGTAAAACTGACAATTCAGGTTGAGTATCCCTTATCTAAAAATATTTGGAACCAGGAGTGTTTCAAATTTCAGATCTTTTTGGATTTTGCAATATTTGCCTGCACATAATGAGATACCTTAGGAATGAGGCCCAAGTCTACACGTGAAATTTATGATCTGTATATACATTATACACATAGCCTGAAGGTAGTTTTATACAATAGTTTGAATAATTTTGTGCACGAAACCAAGTTTGTAGAAAGTATAAGTGTCACTATCTCAGTCAACCATGTGGACAATCTGTGATTGCTTGGCATCACCATTATTTCTGACTCTGAATTTATATGCTACTGATAAGCAATCGCTTTCTTATACATATTCACATGTAAGTACTTAACAGTAAAAAAGACATACCATTAATACAGTGAAAAAAATAATGTGTTCAGGGTAACTAAGCTGCACAATAGCATCACCAGAATACCTGTATCAGCTGTTAGAAAATAGTGACAGCAAACAAGGGCAGGCTTTCAGTCTTTACTTACATGCTGTGTTTTGCTTAAAAGGTTACTGGATACTGCATTTTATTTTATTTTATTTTATTTTCAGTTGGAGTCTCACTCTGTCGCCCAGATTGGAGTGCAGTGACCGCTCCTGGCCACCGTGGCCTCAACCTGCTGGGCTCCGGCGATCCTTCCGCCTCAGCCTTTCAAGTAGCCGGAATTACAGGCATGTGCTACCATGCCTGGCTGATTTTTTTTATTTATTGTAGGGATGAGGTCTCACTGCCCAGGCGGGTCTCGAACACGCGGGCTCAGGCAATCCACTCACCTCAGCCTCCCAAAGGCGCAGAATTACAGGCTGAGCCACCGAGCCCGGCGCATTTTAATTTTTAAATGAGAAGGAACAAAGCAGTTGAATGGTAAGAAAGTGGCTCCTCCAGGGATGAGGCAGCATTCTGCAGGATGACTATTAAAAATGTTTCCTTCTGAGTCACCTGCCTCATTAACAATGCTTTTTGTCTTAGAAGCCGTTTTTGGTTTTATAAGTTGACATGATTTCTTGTTCTCTTATGAGTGCATGCTGCTCTAGACCTTCGATAAGCCCATCACACATTTTCTTTATGTCACATATAGGTACTTTTTTTGTGTTGTGTTGACAATGTCATCTTTATTGATGAGCACCTGTGGTTTGACTGTGAGTGATCACATAAGATCAGGTGTGGAATTTTCCATTTATAGCATCATGTTGGTGCTCAAAAAGTATCAGACTTTGATGCATTTCATATTTTGGATTTTCAGATTAGAGATACTCAGCCTATAGTTAACATAGATAGAAGGAAGAAAATGACTCAGACAGATACTGCAAGCACCTATACTCCCCAAGGAGAGCAACCAGTTGAACAGCTTACTGTGACTCTGGATTGGAGTAAGAATATAAAGATCAATTTGTGAGAAGATGCATAGTATAGGTTTCTTGAATAATATTTACTGAAAATTTAAGTCCTGTTAATGGTATTTTATAACATCATTGTTGTTTTTTTCTAATAGCCTTATTTTCTTTATAAAGTGAAATTCATATTACATAAAATTAACATTTTTAAAGTGTACTATTCAAGAGCTTATCTGGCTTCTTCTACTTAACATAATGTTTCCAAAGCTTGTTCAAGGTATAGCATGTATCAGTACTTCATTCTTTCTATGATACCTTTACTTTTGATAGTTTAAAAGTTGGGGAGACAATTATGGGGAGATGATAGATAGCATAGAAAGCACCAGGAATCGAGACAATAATACATTGTCAGAATCTGTCTGATGCAACTATTTTGGAGTTGCATCTATTGAAGTCTTGCAACTTCCAGGGGCAAGTTTAGAAGATAAATGAGTTTTGTCCAGTTTCAGCCTTTTGTTCAATGTCAGTTACAGTAATAGCTACCCATCTTCCACCTTTAACTCTATAGCAGGAAGCTGTGCATGTGCTTTTGGAGAAAACTGCATATAGCTTGTGGAAGCTAGTATGGACAAAAATGACCCTTTTCTTCAAATATTGAGTATCAGTGTCTGACTGCTGTTTCTATCATGATAGTACAAACACAAGGAGTACCATTGTTGCGAACCTTCTCCCATTGCTGAAAGTACCTCTCCCTGTGGCTGAAATGATTTCTAGTTAAAGAGTCAGTGCCACCTCCTTCACTTTTCTTTTTTTTCCCCTTTAAGATCAAGGCATACACACATGCTAAAAGAAAGGCTCAGGCTCCAAAAAAAAAAAAAAAATTGGAGAAGTCCTTAAGTTTACACCTGAGGCTAACCCATAGCACAGAAGTGGTCTATGACAATTAAAATATAAATAAATAAACAAAATCAACACCAAACCCAGAAAACGCTGGGGAAAAAGGAGAATCCAG